CTGATGAACCTCTTTGATCATCGTCGTTTCATACTTAATTTCAAATCATCACAGACAAGGTCAGCACCTCTCTGCATAACAAAAATTTGTATTAATCCCTGCATTAATACCACACTCACACTTGACAGGCCATACTTTTTTTTGTGACACTGGTTGTGGACTGTATCTAGTATTTCTATCCAAGTATTAGTTAAGTAACACTTCAGGGAATGTTGGTAATATTCATGCCAGGTGCTTTCACATGTGCCTACATGACACACACTCTGCTGCCAACAAACATGATAACTGAACCTTTCTGAGGGGGAGTCAGTGTATCTCAGATAACTATGAGAAAACAAGAGAAAAGGGAGATGGCTGTTCCTCAGCCTGTCCCTGTGGGGTTTCCCTATTTGCAAGGCCTTGAAGGATTGTGGCCTTCAAATCATCAAGATCAAATGCACCCAAATTAATTTGCCCTGCTAATTCAGGCCTGAGTATTTACAAAAATGTTGGGGTTTTTTATTCCTATTTTGAAATCTCTTGCACAGGCCTCAGAAGAGGCAGCCCTCTGCATGTCTTCCTGCCATCTCCCAATAATTCACTACCAAAAGGAAACCACCAGGAAAAAAAATGGAGCTCAGATGTTTCAGAGGATTAGAGTTTTCCATCTTTTATGAAAAGAATTAATGGGAAAACACTATCCAGAATGACCATAAAAATAATCTCTTTTTTCTTCAGCTGGCTTTAATCTCTCCCTGACTTTCAACAAGGACAACTCCCAGTGGTGGTCCCAGATCAGATGCTGTACATGAAGCAGCTGCATTTCAGAGCAAAGTAAATCACTTGCAGATATCCAAATTGGCCTCAGATGCAGAGCTAACTCATCCAGCAATGTACAGGACAGTAATGCTCAGGAAGCAACTTTAGTTTCATCAACTAAGGTAGCTTGGGTGACGCCTTTGCCTGAAGCACTGCCCTGGCTTTCTGTTGCAGCCAAAAAAAAAGCTGCTGAGTCTGGACAAATCATGGAACAGATTAAAAAGTAGCTGAGCTGATGCATGTTCTTTGTATATCATCTTCCTTCAATGCACAATTCAATCCAAACTCCTCAGGCATCAAATGGTGAACAGGGGATGTGACTTATTTTTTCCTGCATTATATAAGAAAAATCCACAATATGGTTTTTGAAAGGATCAGCTTGAATTGATGCACGACCACCCAAAAGTACCTCACTCCAAATTGTATAAACATTCAGGATAACATATATTCTTTTAAAATGTTCTTTTTGATATTGCTTCACAAATTGCATATGCAGAAAATGGTTCCATGTTCTCTTACAACAGACAGCTACATTTCTGCCAATACACCTGCACAGAGCTAATTGGTAAGGTGCTTGGGTTTCCCTGGATCAAAATATCCTGTGTACATCTTGAATTTCCCTAGACATGATAAGAGTACATGTTTAGCACCTCAGAAATAAAAAAAAAAAAAAAATCTTTAATATCAAAAATAGGGAATGGAGATATTTCACATCTTTCAGAACCTCCTGCTCTGGCTGAGCACAGTCATGCTACAACCTCCAAACCATCAAGAAGAAACACAAATGATTTGCAAAGAGCCTGAGGTCTGCAACTAGTTTTTAAAGTATATAAATCAGAGGGGGGGAAAAAAAAGGAATTGGACAATTGTTTTAACTTCTGGTGTTTTGCAAACATGATGAACAATTGCAAATACCAATGTATTCAGTGGTATTCAGTTCAGGGGCAGGGGACCTGCTGGAAAGACGAACAGTACCTTTTTGAACAGTCTGAGGCATCTGTCAGGGCACAGTAAGGAGATTTATGTTAACAGGGCCTCACTGTGCCATGAGCTCAGGGCTGGGTCTAAGCCCTCCCTCGAGCCTGCTGAGAGCTGCAGGAGAAGCCCCTTGGCTGCAGGGCCCTTGGGTCAGTGCCACAGCAAACATGAGGCAAAACAACCTGCAGAGAACAAAGTAAAAACAAAACCACATTGCCAAGAGATAGAGAGCTGGAACAGGGGCTGGTGCATCCCACTTGTGTAGGAGCAGCCCCAGCTGGTACCAAATGACAAGAGCCAGGACTGGGTGAGGCATTTGTGATTCAAAGGGGTGATGGTGCCAGAGGCAGAAATGGAAGCCCAGCAAAGCCTCTGCTCTCCTGCCCTGAGCACAACAGCAGAGGAAGGAGTTAACACCACCTCGGTTTCGCTTTACTGAAAAGATTTTTGTTTTGGTTTGGTTTAAAATCAACATGCCTGCACCTGTCAGGGAGAAACCATGCACTCAGTACAATCACGGAGATCTAGAGGGCAGATCCTCAAGGATCATCCATCACGCCCTGCTCTGGAGGAGTTGAAAAAGTTGTAATAAACACAATGCAAGCAAGCGAAGGCTGGAAGGAGAGATCAAAGGGTTTACCCGGCATGCCTCGCTGTGGGAATGGGGAGCGCAGCTGCGTACATGAAAGGGTTACACCCAAAAAATGAAGATGATTGCCAAGCAGGGTGGAAAGAAAATCTGTTTACAATTGCAAAGCCTCATGCTTCCATCATCAGGTGTTACAGAGCAGGAATCGTTTCCTGCTAAATTTTCCAATTAGCTTCTTTGACTTTTTTAATCGTGTAGTTTCCTTTCTTATTATTTGTTTGGAAAATTCTTTTCTAGACTACTGTTCCCATGCAAACCAAGAATTAAAATACAAATTCCAAAAAATCCTGATGTCATTAGGATGAGCCGTATGCCAGTTCAGACAGGATCATAATAGAAAAAACCCCAAAATTCTCAACCCTTTGCTCTGATTCAGGTTCAACTCGTCAGCTTCAGCTGTAACAAAAACAGTGATAACTTCCTCTGTCCTTACAGAGGGTCCAATTAATGGAATGATTTGAAGTTTTATCACCCTCCCCCTCCAAAAAAAAGTAATCAGAAAAGCGAAGTAAGTTATTGTTGTTTCCTCTCTCCCAGAGAAAGTGCAAGTTCTGAATATGCCTTTATGTTTTCAAAGAAGTGGTCAATTTTAAAATAAAACTTTTAAAAATTGAAAGAAAGAACATAGAAGTATTTTGAAAAAGAAGAATTGAAACAGCTACTGACTTAGTGATGGGCAGTACTTTGCAGTCTGAGAAGCTTAAGATTGTGTCTTCAATAAGCATGTGTTCAGTACTGCAAAGATGAGTTAAAAAGAAGAAAAAGAAAGGAACTGCCAGGGAGCCCTTTCAGGCACCACGTCACTGAGGATGAGGCAGGGCCTCTGCTGACCCCTCAGGCTCTTCGCTGGGAGGGAACTCAAACTCTTCCTCTTAAGAGATAAGGCTAAGAAAACCATCATCAAACAGCTGCATTGAAATGCTGCTAATAATACAGCATTCTGCTTTCCTGGGATGGTTTAAAAGCTTGTCATGTTTTTATTGGACTTTCCAATGATGTCAGTTCGAGGCAGGGCTTAGACAAGTAATTGCTAAAGGGTGAGTCTAAAAAGGGTATAATTACTGAAGGGAGTGTCTGATGTGGGAAAGTGGCATTCCAGCTGGAAGGAGAGATGAGCTGGTCTCTCATAGGTCCTAGTGAACTCCCAGATGCTGCATGAGTATTCCCAGTCCCATGCAGCCAGTTACATCCCTGCAATGCTCCTGACCTCAGTTATTCTTTAGCAATTACTTGGGCAGCAGCAATTTCTTGTCCAGCACTGCTCACTGTCACCGTGCTGGGAATGCAGGCACATCTTGAACCCCTAAGATACGTAACCCTCGAGTTATTGCATCAGGCCAGGGTTGCAAAACAGACAATTGCTGACTTCAGTAAGGTTGCATGGGTGTAACTGAGAATAAAATTTGGCCTGTAGCGTTGGGAAGGGTTTCATTGTAACTTGCAAAAGGGATGGGGAGGAATCCTCCTTTTGAAATGGAAACACTACATCCCCTGCTGTCCATCTCCTGGCCACAAGAGTTGCTCATCCTCCTCTTACAAATGAGAGGAATTCCAGGTGTCACTCCATACATCCATCCTCTCCAAACCACTCCTTCACACTCACCTCTCCCACAAATGCTGACAGGCACCAAAGCAGCCTGTAAATAGTCTGTACCAAAACTCCTTGCTGGCCCTGCACTGTGAAGCTGCTCCTACAGCCATGCCCATGGAGCCATTCCCTTCATTCAGCTTGTGGGTCTTGCCACTGACAAAGGCTGGAAAATTCTGCAGCTTTTTCTCTCAGACAAGGTGCCACGGTCAAACTGCCCCAAAGTGTACAACCACAAGGCAGTGGGCATCATCCAAGCACAAACAGTTCAATCTCCCTGATGAACCCTGCCAGATCCAGTACCCTGTGAGCCACCCAGTGATGTGAGGATATGGCTGCCCTGGGAGTAAAACCACTCCTAACAAGCTACAGTTTTGACAGGCCTGCTCCTAGATGCCTTCCCACGTGAATCTTTGGCTTCTGCCTGAACCATCCATCAAATCCAAAGCAAAGTCCCAGAAGGAGTCACCCGCTGGAGGCTTTTGTAGGGGCTGCTGTGTTAGTCTGAGAGCTTACATCTCTTCATGGCTCTGGCTAACCTAACTGTGAGGTGGCAAAAAGCATCAGCAAAGAGTGGCCCAAGTCTGAAGGTGCTGTTATGGTGCATTGGCACCCTGAAGGCAGGCATGGCTGAGAGCACAGCACACACTGATCAATGACTCCATGTACTCTGCACCTTTAAGGATTTCAATTTTGTTATCTTATTTTTCTCCCTCACTTGTCCCCTTTCCTTTTGGTACAAAACCATGGGTTCTCTTGGCAGCTCTCCCTGTACCAGCTACCTTCAGAATTTGATCAAAATGGACTTCACTTAAGCCTTGCCACCAAACTGATTTAATTTCTCTCAGCTCCCATCTCTAACACTTCCCCATCCCAGCCAGTACAAAGCAAGAGAATATCACATCACACAGCGTCACATATTGTCAAAAAATTGTACTCATTAAACATCTCCTAGAGCAATACACAGAGTAATGGCAACAGCACCAGCATTGTTGAAATAGTTTATTTATTTCCAGGTCACAGAATATTCTGAGTTGGAAGGGACCCACAAGGATCATTGGGTCAAACCCTGAAGTGAATGGTCGATACAGGGAGTGATCCCAAAACCTTGGTCTGACCAACTGAAAAAACCTCAGGTTGCTAATCCCACACAAATTGTAATCCTTTAATTCTGCACAGCACAACCCATAGGCAGCCACACGGCACTTAGTGTAATTGATGGGCTTCCTATAAAAGGGCCTGGCTGGTCGCAGAAAGTCAACATCTCATTTCTATTTATTGAAGTTGAAATCACTTTGTAGTAGCATCTGTGGGCATTGCTGCTTGTTTCCCACATGAAAAAAGTGATGAGAGTGTTCCTGGTTCACCTGTGGGAAAGAAAATAGTCCACAAAATAAGTTTGACAGGGATTTGCCAGGATCTTGGGAAAATTTTATATTTAAATACTTGGAAAGCCAGCACTAAAGGCAAGTTGAAATTGGTTTTTGATTCCTTTACGCAATAACAAATTTTGTCTGTCTTTTCTTCACTCTCAAATAAATAAACAGTTCCATTACAGGCTGGAGCCTGTTCAACTTTGAGGAAAGACCAGGACTGGCTTTTCTCTCCAGCATGTGTATAATGTTAAATGACATCTTAATGCAATCACTTTGGATGGCTGAAAAGAGATCTTCACAAATAAGGTATTTTCTAGTTTTTCAGGGCTATAAGCAGTAATTCTTAGAAGCTCAGGGAAAGGAAAAAAACCCTACACAATGGATTCTTCTGAACTCTTCTTCTAAATGCTTTTAAAACAACTTTGAAGGAACCATTCAGTTTCTTCTATTCCACCAACACTAATGCACCAGAACACCAAAAATGTGACAGGATCAAGAAACCCCTTTTGTAGCTGCAAGCTCTTCAGCCCCATTTTAAGTCAGGCTCAAAGTTCCATTTCCTTCAGTTGAACCTGGATTTGAGCCTTCAGCAGGACTGAGCCCTTGGTCTGTCCCTTTCTAACCCCAGTAATGACTCGCACCCTGCGCTGCGCCGATGCACCTGATGTCAGGGAGTCAAGTCACTGCAAATCTGCCACCTCAGCCACATAGTCCCACAGGGAGTGGCTTTTCAAACTAGTCAAAACTGCCCTGAGAAGAGTCTCCAACTCTCCCTGCTGTTCCTTTGTTCTTCCCCATCTGTAGCTGGCATGTATGCTGTAGTGAATGTGAGGAGCTGAGACCAGGCTGGATCATTAAGGCAGAGGGACTGGAAAATACCAATTGGTCACAGCATCTAGAGCAAGCAGTGGTGCAAAAGAGGCTGAAGAACCACAAAGGGACAACCTCTTCTCTCCTCTTCAATTGCTTTTTCCCCTCTACTTTTGTCTCTCCAGACCACTGCTCCATCACTTGAGCTACCATTGAGAGAACGAGTGTTCCCCACATTCACCATTATTAGAGCACAGAAAGTTGTACAAACTGTGTGTTTCACACAGCATGGTAACACCTCCTTACATTTCCTCCAGGGTCCAGGTATCTGTCACACCTGAGGTGCACAGTGGTAGCTCTCAAGTCCACATAAAGGCCTCTTCATAGCCCAGAGAGACATAGTGCTCTGCAACAAGTGTCCACTTCACACTCTACAAGCTCATGCCTGACTGAGGAGCACAAAATGAGAAACCTGGCAAGGAGAGAGAACAAACAATTCCTTAAGTTTCTTTTCTATCCAGAAGCAAAAGCATTAGAAGCGACATCTTATGTCAAGCACATAAATTAGACTTTTTCTTTGAAAAAGCAACAATCAGCAAACCCTCTGCTCTCCAGTTCTAGTCAGTATCAGCCTTCATCTCATCCTGCCAACTCTCAGCTCTCTGTGCATCCCAAATGCAAACCCTGGCATGCAGACCAAAACTGGTCCTCTTACCCCCTCAGAGCAAACCTTACCCCAAACAACTCTACACCTCAAGCCTCACCTGAGCCCTCAATCCTTACTAGATCTAGTGAGAGGTCTGCTTACCCAGCCCTCCCTGTCCAAACCTTGCCTTCAGCCTGCTTTGATTCTTTATAGGTCAACAGCAACCTTATGAATATGGCAACCTTAATTTATGTACCATAAAAACACCAGTGTGCACAGTGAAGAATCCAGAAAGATACTACACCTTTTCAGACTTGCTGTCCACATCCCTAACCAAAGCACTGGTGGCAAACCTGCAATATCTCCCTGCTCAGAGTTCAGCACCAAACATCCATTCAGACTTCACAGAGCTGCCCATCCTGAGTCTCATCCATCTTTCAGGCAACCCACAGCCAGCGCTAAAGACAAAGAAGAATAAACAATGGATCCTGGAAGTACCACCAAAGTAGGCTGATTCCAGACATTTCCAGCTTGGCAAGCTGCTGGCTCCATCTGATCATGGGTGTAGATTATGGGGTGAAGGGGCTGCAGAACCAGCTTTGTATCTTTCTTGTTTAGGTGCCAGCTGGTGCTGATCATACCTCCCAGAAGGATGTCTGGGGAACACTGGACTTTCCAGTTTCAGGGCAAGGCTACAGTTGGAACTGGGGTTAACACTCAGGGCTGGAGGCACTAAAAAACCAGATGGGTAGGGGTAGGGGGCTGCAGTCAGCCACAGAGAATCAGCCCTGGCTGAGTGTGGGAGGGAAGTGACAGCACAGAGCACAGGGCTCATGTTCAGCTTCAGGGGTTGAGGCTCAGATTAGGCAAAGGGATGAAAAGGATGCTCAAGAGCAGGAATGCCAAGTAAATGCTGTGAACCTCTTGTAGATAACTATTAATTAGGCTTCCTGTCCTCATGTCCCCATCACCAGCCTTCATGCCAGCCCTTAACCCAGCCCTAATGCAGAAGAAGGGTCACTGGCCATCCTTCATCCTGTTCTGCAGCAGCCTGCTGCAACCACAGCCTGCTGGCTTGGGGGAGCAAGAAAAGAGAGGAAAAAAGGAAACAACACCCCAAACCCCCAAGCAGTCTCTGCCAACTGCAAGGCCCAGCCTTGTGGCCTTTGCTGCAGACATGGATCTCGGGGCTAGATCAGAGAGATAGCCTTAAACCTAGTGCTGCAGGCTAGGTCTAACATTCACACTCTGCTTAGGAGAGCCTGCAATTCCAGGCAGGCTGCAAAGGTGGAGGCAGGTTGTTGCATGTCAGGAAGAAAGACCAAGTTTGTTCTTATGTCAGTCCTTAGAAAATAAACAGCTATGGAGGGGAGGTGGGGAAGGGAAAAAAACCAAACCAGCATCTGTCAATAACTCAAACTGTGTTTAGGGCTAGTGATTGTGGCAAAATGATTGCTACCTATTGCATTACACAAAAGATGGATGTTTATGCCTGTGAATTTGGGCAGCTGAAGAATTACATCCCTGATATTTTTTAGATTCTTACCACGAGCCTTCATCATTTGTACAGGGGGAAGGAATTCTCCTTAGTGTTTGCCATCTAGAACCTCTTCCTAAACCCAGCATCAATATCATTGTTGCAGGCTGGCCTGGCCCAGAACAAATTATGCCCCTATGTCCTCAAGATATAAAACTTTGTCCAAGAACTACAAATTCAGGAGGATAAAACCCCCAAATAACATCTAGGTGCATGTACAACTCCATCAAAATTTAAAGTTATGTAGATGATTGAAACATAATTAGCACTTTTGACATATTAAAGGAGCTTTGGCACTTTCCAACAGTCTGAGCACGAACTTACTTCTCCCTCTAGAGGACACGGAGATTAGCACAAGGAACATGAGGTTATGTCAAGACCAGAAAAGTAACGAGATGCTAAGGCAAAGGGTCGGCATTTTTGCTTTGAAAGTTTACTAGCAGTAGAGAAGGATCAAAATTACAACTGTAAAAACAACGAGTCATTAAGTTATGTGTTTATTTTTCCAGCCATACCACAGAAAGTTCTAAATAAATTCTGAGTTAACTTTCTGAGTTAACCTGGTATCCTGAAATCCAGCCCTCACAGCCCTTCATCATCATCTCCACCTCTACCTGTGACCAAAATCTGTAGGATGCATTGATCCCCAGAAAATGTCAGCCTTGCTTCTTTTGTGTCTCAAAGCACCCCAGGTTCTCACCAAGACTTGCCTGAGCACACAGGCCAAAAGCAAGCGTGCAGCCTGCCACAGCTGGTTGTGCAGTTGCATTGTTTAATCAAAATATTTCAGCATGGAAATCTAATCCCTCTGAGCAGACGTATCCTTACAAAGCTGGTTTTACTGGCTTCGTCACTGGGAAACCGAATCTACAAAACTCCACCTTCCAATACTTCTACTGCTACATATAATAAAATATATAATGTGGAAAAAGCAACAAATTAATACCAGCCCTGTACAGACCTGAGAGGAGGCCTGGTACCAACTGCTCAGAGTGCAAACCAGCCTTACAGCACTGCAGAACTTCAGGGGGTGGGTGGCTGAATCCCCCCAAAATACTCCACCACCTCACTAATGAATTTCTTTGGAATTTAACATACATTATTTAGCAGTATCTCCTTCCAGTCCTCTCCCCCTGAATCCCAGTGAATGACTACAAAGACAGGACTACTTGGAAAGGCCCTGGAAGATGAGATAAATTGCTTTTGGACATTTTTATCTTTGATAAAAGGGTTGTAAGTATTCCCACTCTACATACTTAAGCTTTCTAATGCCACTAAATCTTCTGGCCTCAAATTCCCAGAAATGCATTTTTCCAAGCATCTGACCTGTGCTTGAGAATTTGATGTCTTTCACATGCTCAGCCTGTTCTAAAGAAGTATAATAATAATAATAATAATAATAATAATAATAGTAGTAGTAGTAGTAGCAGTAGTAAAAAATAACAGCATCTCAGATTAGACTGCTAATTTCAAGCTCATTCTCACCCACACTGGTGCAAACCCCACAGGCAGCATTCTGCCAAAACCCACCCACAGCCTGCCCTCTGCATAAAGCCTTTTTAAAGCCAATCCTCCTCCACTACTTTATGCCAGAAAGGAGTATCAAAGTAGTAGAAAGTTCTGCTTTTGCAGCTGTAAAAATTCCTTTTGATTGCCTGACAGAACTGAACTCCAATCCATTTTCAGAGAAGACAGAAAACAAAACAGTTGTGCTTTGAAAAACACACCAGACAGGTATCAAAAGCCCTGCTTGCAGAAACATTCCCAAAGCCTCAGTGACAAAGCAAGGGAGTTTATGGCACAGCCTCAGTAAAAATGTTCTCATTCAAAAGGGGAAAAATAGTAATCTGAGTGCTCCACTTTGACATTGGAACACCCAGTGAGCAGGGAGCAGAGGAGGAACATTGCTTGCAGTCAGCAGAAGGGAATTCTCAGTCTTAGGGGCAGGTATCACACCTGCACAGTTCAGTCTCACTGCTGCTGGGACATCTCAGGGTCATCTCCTGGCTCCACAGCCCACCAGCATCCCACAGCCCCCTCTCCAGGCTCTGTTTGCTGGTGCTGTGACAGGAGATGAGTTCCGCCATGGAGATTCTTGCAATGGCCCACAAGAGACCCAAGAACCCTACCAGCAAGTACATTCTTGGGGAGTGGAGGAAGAGGGGGTAGGAGGAAAATTATGGAAGATAAAGGGGAAGCATTAGCTTGGAGCTGGTTTTGTCCCCCTTGCTTTTATACATAGAACTGGTATGGTATTATTATGGTAATATTACTCTGTCTGCACAGGTGCCATCAGCAGGGCACAGCAAAAACATGCTGTCATGGCAAACAGAGTGGGCCTTGTAGGATCCTCATCTCTGGGGGGAAAATGGGGTTAACTGAGTCTCTGTGCTACTCTGAAGCTTTTTCTTTAGCACAGGATATAAAGTCATGCCATCCCATCCCATCCTCATCCTCCCCACACCCAACGAGACTGCTGCCTTTTGGTAGTTATGTGTAGCAAGAGAATGGTTGAAGAATGCTTCAGAGATCTTCAGGAAGATGCTTCATCTCCTGGCTCTGGCCCAAAAAGCTCCCAATCAACCCATCCCGTGGACTGCCTCACTTCAGTACCTGTCAGGCCTGCAGTGGCCAGGACACACCAACTGCACTCACAGCCCACTTGTGACAAGCACATACCCACTGCAGCAGCCCCCCAGGCCATGGCCACTGCACATTGCTTTTCTGGCTGTGCTTCACCTCAGGTCCCCTGCCAACACTCAACTGGGTACACCTGTCCTCCAGCAAACACCTGAGGCAGGCAGCTCATGCTTTGGACAGCCTGCACAGACAGTCCTGCTGCACATCACTGAGAGCAAGGTTCCAATCCAAAATGACAGAGCCAGGATCCTGCTACAGGACAGCTAGAGCCAGGCAAACTTGATAAGGCTGTGGTGCATGGCCTGGAGGGAAGACAAGGTTACGTGGGCCGGGACATTTCCTCTTCCCTCAAGCACAGATGAGAGCAACCTCCTTTCTCTGAAGTGTCTCCTCAGGTAAAGGAGGTAAATACCACCCCGTGGGACATGCTCTGTCTCTGGGGCTTCCAGGCTCTTTGCCAGGAACCAGCACCCATCCCTGCCTTCAGAGCAGCCAGACCCAAAGAGAAGGTGGCTGTCTCTTTTGTGTGACAACCCCCACTCCCACGGATCAGCCACGGACCAGTTTCCTGGTGGAGTCATCCACTGCTGAGCTACACAAAATAAAGCACGCACAGCTTCACAGTCACTTATGCCCACTTCACTAAAAACACCAAGGTCTGCCCAGTCAGTGCACAACTTGTTCCTGGGGAAAGGCAACAACTCAGACACAATTCCCCACTCCATCTACAACTCTCAGGCCCTATACCCACTTCCTAGTGCTCTATCTTCATGATTCAAGGCAGATGGGCACACCACAGCCCTGTTGGTCAGTAGGGAGAATCCCCACTCCAATGGGACTTCAAGGACAAAGTGTACAAAGCTGTTACTGCTTCAGTCACCTTCAGCACTGCACTGATGAACAAAACCAGCCAGGCTCAGGGCAGCCATCACCGAGGCCACCTCACCCTGAATACATCTGTACACAGGCAGGAAATAAGGTGTCCATGCTTCTTGGCAGCATCTAAGCCCTTGGTGTTATGAGAATCACTAATACTCCCTCACCCCTGGATGTGGATCGTGCAAGTCCTCCTTCCTTCACTTCCAAGTCGGAGGCGGGGCCCTCTCTTGCACCTAATGTAATGCCAATTTCCAAAATGCATATATTTCATCTCAGTGCCCCAACAAACATCCCCATTTGCTAAGAAAATACCAGTCCTGCTTGCTCCAGTAATAGTGTCTACATGTACATGAGCACTGTATGTGAGAGTGTTATCAATCCCTGTGTGGATGGAGAAAGGGAGCAGAGGGAGAGAAAGAGAGATCTGGAAGCCCTGATGGGTTCCTCTCTTATGAGATTTCTAGCCAAAGGCACCAGAGAGGCTGTGAAGGTCAAACTGGGGATTGCAGCCACGTGTGCACTTGGCCATCAATGGAATGCAAGCACAGGGAGGCAGCAAAGGCACAATGCCTGCAGGGTTATCCCAGGGGACTGTGAGGGCCTGCAGAGCTCAGTTTGCTCCCATACTGTGAAGAAGGCATGGGGAGTTAGAACACAGGAACAAATAAGTGTGAGTTTAGCAAAAAAGTCAAACCTGCATAGATAAAGAATTTCAGCAGGCACAAATATTAGATTCAGTCTTTCCCATCAAGAAACCTGTGTCATGCACTCTGTTCAAACAACTACAATATCTTATTAACAAAAAAATCCTCACAGTTTACACTGTATGTATATAAATAAAGGATTTTTAATTTTTTAATACAGAAAAAAAGATGGTGGCTGACTAATCCACAACACATCATCCCTTTCTCTGAGCCAAAGATGGTTTTATTTGCCTTTCTTCATTTTTGCAGTTTTTTCTTTCCTCTTCTTCACATGCTTTGGGATTTTGGTTTTTCTCTTTTCTCTTTGGGCTTCTTTGACCATCTTTTTCCTTTCCTATAAGGAATCAAACACCATTCATTTAAAGCCAGAAGGGAATGAAGAATTTTAAACGAGTCAATCAATTGTTACATAACAAGATAATTAATACATGACATAAAAATAAGGTTATCAAGATAAAGAAATTTTAAAAATCAATAGAAATTATGAGGGGATAGGAAAAAGGAGATACAGGTTGGGGGTGGAGCCCAGATCTGCACATTGGGAATGACAAACTAGTTAGAACCTGAGTTTCATGCAACCTTTGAAGAAAGTGAACAAGAGGCACTCTTAACTCATGCTATTTACACTTAAGATTACAACAGGTTGTCTGGTCTACATTTTCTGCTACCCACAGAGCTACTATAGTATCTGTTTGTATGTATCATGTATCAAAATATTGATCCAGTAAGTGCTGATGGAGCAAGCTGATCACCAGCAGGACTGGTAGGAAAGAATGCCATGCTACTGCAACACACTGTAAACCTGTGCCAGACAGAAGGGACAAGACTCAACTAGAAAACAAAAAGTCAGCGAAGTGGAAGGAGTAGGTAGAAGTAATTGCTGCTAATCAGTTGTTCAACCTACAGCTAAACACAAGTTACAAAAAAACCTCACCTCACACAAAAAGAAGTCCAAATGAAAACCTATCAGATGAGAAGTGGCCAAGACTTCCCTCTTTCACATCTAAAAGGCAGCAGCTCTAGACTGGCAGTGTGTAGTAGAGTGCTGCATTTTTATTTGACAGATATGAAATATATAATCTTACCTTTTCTAGGAAGAAAAACCTAAAATGCCATGTCCCAAACCTTGAACCCCTTAAGCCTGCAAATTTCACCCTGTTTTTTAATTATTTTTTTTTTCACAGCACCTAAAAGGCTGCCAAAAGGCTCTCACTCATGAGTGATACTCTGCAGGAGAGCCTCACCAAAACTAAGCATATTGTTCCACAGTTTAAAAAAATGAAACCTCAAAGAAAACCCAAACCCCAGACCCTAACCATAATTCCTTTGCTGGACTGCATTACATCTCTTGCCCACAGGAAAGCTAGGCAGCCTGTACTAATGGTACTGCAAAAGCACTGTGGGACAAACACTGTCACCAAATCTCCAGCTCTACAGATCAAGTGGTCTCAGCTGTCTGGGCATAGGGAGGTTCATCAGGGACCACAGCCACAAACCTGAGCACCAAAGCCTGGAAGAGTAGCCAGAGGGACTGAAAAGCTGCCCAGGCTCCACTGCATTCTACTTTGTGTAGCCCTGTAATTCCCTGTAGAGATCTCTCTTCCAGCTTTGCCTAAGCTACGGAGAGCTGTGTTGCACACTGCTCTACATAAAACCACCTTTAATAAAGCATCCCAAATGAAATTCACTCCCTCTGCTCTTGTTCTCTACAACAGGAAAGGTCCACAGCTTGTTTCAGACAGGAAGAAGCAAGAGTCACTAAGTTTGGATATTTTTGTGTCATATAAGCAAAGGTGGGAAAAAATAAACAATTCCCGGCCAGCTGACCTTTTTGTCCATGCTAACTTCAGCAGGTCTGTCTTTGGGATGTACAGATTCTTTACAGCCCAAATCAGAATCCTCTAAGCTGCCACCACCACCATCATCATCATCATCAGAGTCTGTTTCTGAATTGTCAGCCTCTTCAAGGAGTGCAGGAATCTGCAAGATATATCAAGAATTACATCAAATCAAAACCAAGAAACCTAATGGCAGCATACACACATACACATGCACAATGTACATATATACTCACAAAAAAGAAAACAGAATCTGTTGCAAAGAAGCCCTTGAGCAATCTGATGCTATCTCCCTTACCACAGCCCTCACTGAGTTTC